AGAGAATTAATACATGATTATTTCCGCCTGACTTCTCTCATTTATGAGAATTCTGTGGCAAATTCCAAATTAAAAATAGTTCAGTTAACAGCTTTAAAAAATACACTTGAAATATTTTAAGACACTACCCTCCCCCTGTATTTTTAAGTTTGGTCATTCCCATGGCCTGAAAACTATGAAAATTTTTGATCAGCTTTAGAGTCATAGTTACTGTATTTTAGTAAGTACATTTTGGTAAATCTAGCATGAAATTTCCAAATAATTCTAAAATTTTTCATCTGGGAAAGCAAAGACCGATTTGTGATAGCAACTAATTAGTAGTCTCTAAAATCAAATTCTAGATTTTACAGGCAAAGGGATCGTTGCAATCATAGTCACGTCAAGGTGCAGAGGAACATAGGATGAGGCTGGGTTTGCAAAACCAAGTCCTTAGGAATGATACAAATGAAAACATGCACAGGTTAGAAGTTCCATAGTAATGAAATCAAATGCCTGTGCCCATAAGTTTTGGGTACAAGTGTATTTTAAAATTGAAGTCAGTGGCTTAGGCACGGGGCTGCTATTGTTAACTGTTCACAGGCTTGGAAAAACGCTCACTGTTGCTACTGGTCCACAAATATTTGTTACCGTGAAGTTTTGTGTTTGTGTGCTGCCTTAGTTCTCACAACCAAGTTTGGGCATAAAATGTTCTCTTTTTTTCTCTTTCCTTTTAAGCTTACCACATGGACAGCTAAAGAAAAAAGTTTTGAAGATATTTTGCCATAAATGGCTCAGAAGACAATGTAAAGGAAGCCCCATGCACCTTCACTTACAAGCACAGATCAAAATAGTTTAAATAGGTCAGGACAACGTCTGTAGATTCTAATTCCTAAGAGCAATTCCACAAATTGTCTCTGTGGTCACATTTATCTTAAATCATAGCTTCTGCAATATTTTACATTCTAAATTCAAGGAGTTGCAGGTGGAAATGGTTGAGTGGAAGAAATATGCAATATTATACCACAGTTTACTGTCAAGATACATCTAACCTGATATAAAATTGACTTAATTATTCCTGATTATTTTTTAAAACCATACTTTTCCTGCATCTGGAACTTAGCATTAAGTGCTTGTGTGTGTGTGTCTCCTACATCCTGGGGTGCACAGTTACCAGCACTCCTGTGTGACCTCAGCCACCGTACAGTTCCGCTTTTAAAAGATGCCTGACTGTAAATGTCAAAGTCATAAATATTTCAGCATTATTTTTTTTCAATTCCAAGTCAAGACTGACAGGATGCTTCTAATTAGTCGAGGGCTCTCTGCAGGGCCCAGCCCCAGGACAAAATTTGGGGAAAGCACATGTAGTTCAAGTTGCTCAGCCTTGGGGAGCAGGGACCCAGAAGGGGAGGAGGCTGAGGCCCGCCCCACCCAGGTCACACCTGGAGCAGAACCTCGGATCAAACTCACTCTCCAGCGGATATCAGGCTCATTCTTTTTTCTTAAAGCTGGTGGTTAGCAGGGATTAGAAGTTTTGTTTGTTTTCTTAATTCCACAAAAAGAAAGGAAATAAAATAATCATAAAGTTATTTTAACTCAATCACTATGCCAAAGAGGGGAGGTCACTTTTTTTTTTTTTTTTAATTTCTATAAATTTTCGTTTCTTCCGGGATTCTTAAGACCTGACTAGCAACCAGCAACAGTTTTTCCTCCCGCTGGACCCTTCCTCTCCTCGCTGGGTAGGTCGGAACCACTGGGGGTGCAGGGGGGCTGGGCAAGGAAGAGTGACTTTTCCGGTTCCAGCTGAGTAGCCCCGGGCGGGCTGGAGAGAGAGTTCCGAGCCCAGCCCCAGGATCCTGTGACCTCGTTGTCACGAGCCCGGTGGGTCCGTCAGCCCTACCACCACCTTCCCTCTCTGGCTCAGACCCCCTGATTCCCCGCCCACGCTCCTGTCACTGACTGCCCCTGCTGTGCGGGCTGGACCGGCCGGCTGTCCACAGCCATCGACCCCTCCCCTGGCTGCCAGAAGGGCCTCCTGGCGGATGGGCTGCCTGGGGGGGAGGGGGGGGGGCTGGGTGCCTCCCTCCGGCCTGAGACCACTGTGGCCCTTCTCTTTGGGACAGCTCCAGCCCACGCAGCTTGGAACTAGAGGACATCATAGAAAATGGGACTCGGTGGGCACGGGGCCCCGTCCTTTTTCCTTCCCCGCTTCCCTTCTCCTCCAGCAGCACCTGGGACCCGGAGGGGCATGGTGGTGCTGAGCAACTGGGAAGAGGGAGAGCGGGATCCAGAGAGGAGGGACCCAAGCTCTGGGGGCAGTCACTCTCCTTGACATTTTTCTTTGACCTTTGAGTTAGTTCCACGCACGCCGCGAAAGGGGCAGCGGTTAGGCCCTGCTTGCTTCTCTACCCCCGCTTGCCGGGCGCATCGTGGGTCACGGTGAGCGTCGGTGCCCCAGCCAGCGGTGGCGGCCGCGTTTGGGCCACCCTGCCGCCCTGGGAAGAGCTTCGGTTTGGCCCCCCGGCTGAGTGTCCAACCCGGAGTTTCTCCTTCGCCCCAGACCTGGGCCAGGTTGACGTGTGGGCACTGCCACCTGCCTCCGTGGCCTCCCACCTGGAATCGCGTGACAACCGGGCCACCCCGTGCCCCTTACACGGTGAGCCCGCGGGCACCCTGCGCAGCGGGACCCCGCGTCCCCGACTGCCCGGCGCCCACGGCCCAGGCCTTGGTCCCTGGCGCGCGTGCGGCCGTCTGTCGGGTGCGCACTGCGCGTCCTCTCGGAGCCGGGCTGGCCACCACACGCGTGTGCGCTTCACGTCGCCAGGCAGGAAGAGCCTGGAAGTCCCTGTTCCCGGGCGCCGTCAACCACGTGGGCGCGAGGGGTCCTCCCGACGCCCGGGCGGCATCCCCAGAGCTGGCGCCTGGCCTAAGTGAGGACGCGGGCACCTCCAGTGGCCCGCACTGGGGCGGGATTGAGGGACGCGTAGTGACGGCCAGGCGGACCCGGCCCAGGCGGGGGACAGCGGACGCCCCTCCTTCGGCCGCGCCGCCTCCTTTGTTGTCCCCGCTCGGTCTGCCGAGGCGAGGCTGTCCCGCGGGGGGCGCGGGGAGAGCGAACGGCCTCCTGGAAGGGCCCCACGGAGGTGCCGATTCGGCCCCTTTCGGGGAGGGGAGGGGCGGCGGCGGAGACCCCGGCCCGCAGCCTCGCCGGCCCTCGGCGCTCACCGCCGCCGGAGGGGCGCGAGGCAGCGCGCCGCGCGGGGCCGGGGAGCTGGGCCGGGCCGGTCGCGCTCCGTCCCGCCCTGCTGGGCCTCGCTGCGCGGGGTGGGGTCCCTGCGGTTTATTTACCGGGCTCTGGCTCTCACCCGCCAGGGGCGGAGACGGGGTGCGGAGGGAACTGGGCGGCGGGGAGGGGTGGTCCGCGGCTCCGCAGCTTTGACCTTCCGGAGGCGGCCGTGCCGGCGCGGGGGGAGGGGGGAGGGGAGGGGTCCACGCCGGGGGCGGCGGCGGGAACGGCCACACCGGCCTCGCGCAGCCCTGCGCGACCCTCCCGCGCCCCGCCCCTCGTGTCCCCCGCCCCCACGCGGGGGTCCTCCCCCCCCGCCCCTCCCCTCTCCCCCCGTCGTCCCACCCCCTCCGCCCTCCCCTCTCCCCAGCCCCCTCCCCTCCCCGCCCTCCGTGAGCCTCCCGCCCTTTGCCAGCCTCGCGGTCCTCCTCGGAGCCGCGCATCCAGGCAGGAAAATCCAGCGTCTTTTCTCATTTAACCCGCGTTTCCATTAACTCAGTCCCGGCACCAGCTAATCCGCGGCACCGAAGGCAAAAGGAGGCTAATTAATGACCAGCTTTTCCAGTCAAGACCGGCGATAATTGCTTTGGTGGCCTTTATGATTACAAGCTAAAAATGGCCCGGCCTGACATAAGAGGCCCTGTGTACACTCGGAGACAGGAGGGAATGAGGAGGGGGAAGGCTGGAGACAGAGCAGAAAATTACTAATACAAGACACATAATGAATAGGCCGGCCAGGCATTCATGGGGAAAAAATCCATTTTGTTACCACGCGAAATTAGGTGGTGGAAAGGAGTCTGCTAATTGTTCTCATCTTGTAGCAACCGGGACCGAGGCGCGGGCGTGCGTCTCCATTCATTTACCGAGTAATGGTGGAGGGCGAGCTGGCCGGAGCGCGCGCGCCCGCGTCCTCTCCGTCTTCCCGGGGCGCTTTAATTGTGGCTAATACACCTGCTAACGAAGCTATCGGGCGAGCAACAGGCACCTTTTGCACGTGAAGACCAGTGAAATGCACCCAAAGGATCCCCCCCCAAAAAAAACAATGAGAATCTGATGGTTTGTCCCCCTTACTCTCCACGCCGCGGAGAAGTGAACTCGCGGACCGTCGTGTTCCAAATGCCCTGCAGCTCCTTTCAAGGAAGAGCGCTGAGGTGCGCGCGTTGGAGTGTGTGTCCCGCGGGCGCGCGCGCAGAGGGGCTCAGGTCGGTGGGGATGTCAAGGAAAGTTCCTCCAGAGGCGGCCCTCCTGCAGTGTCTCCAAGAACGTGGATGTGACGCTTACCTGCCCTGATTGTGCTGTGTGCTGTAGAGTTGTTTGATCTCTCTGTGCTCCCGGCACCGCGCCCCCCCCAAAAAAAAACATTGTGGTGCATGCTCAGGATAAACTGCTCTATTTTCCTCACACCTGTTTGAAGAAGGGATGTGCGCTTTTCCTTAAAGCTGCAAATCAGCTGCCAAAGACTTTGCCTTGTTAGGGTTAGAAAAACGCTGGCCTTCAGGAGAACAAGTAATGCTTCTAAGTTTTCTTTTGAAAACGTTGCAATCTGTAGTGTGCTAGTTAGAAATAACTTCCCTCCTTGTTTGAGAGGTGCTGTTCCGGATGGCCCCCCGGTGGCTGTTTTAATGCCAGCACGGTGCTGTGCCGAGCTTTACCTTTACCTTGCGTTGGAAAAGGGTGGTTTCCAGGAGGTCATAATTTGTTAGGTACTAACGTGCGCGCCTTCTCTCCTGTTCTGCAGAAAAGCAAACTCAAGCTTCTGCCACACGGAGCAGAGCAAGAGGACTCGACCCCGTTCATCGTGCTGACCCTGGTCTCTGTCGTGGCCATGGTTGGGGTCCTCCTGGCCTCTGGTGTCATCTACTGTTTGCGCCACACCTCCCACTCCCGGCTGCAGGAGAAGCTCTCGGACCTGGGGGAGCACCCCGGCCCAGATGCCACCAACGCCTACCAGGTAGGGGTTCTGCTGGGTTCTGTTCATCAGTGCGCGCGGTCTGTGGCCCCTCCCCGTTCCCAGTGCTTCATGTAGTCATAGTTTGGGTTCTTTCAGGAAGACGGTTTGAAACTGCTCATCAGCATTCACGTAAATACCTTGTAACCACAGTTTTACTGCTTTGTGTTAATCTTACTCTGTTCTTGGCTCGTCTCAGTTAGCTGTGAAAGCAGGTTGCTCATTAGAAATGTGGAAAAAGTACAAAACATGAATTATGTATTATCTGTTATCTTTCTTAGTTTGGCTGCTGTTAATGAAAAATGCCAAAGTTGCAAGATAAATTGGTTGTGTAGATGTTTGAAGATGTCTCTTAAATCATCGACTTCCTCCGGGTCTTCTATGAAAAGATCCTTTGACCTGACCCATCGCCACCCCCTGCTAGTATTTGGATAAAGTGAAATCTAATGCTGATCAGTGGGAAGTAAGCCGAGGGCGTCTCCATGCGAGTGAGGGTGGTGGCTGGGTGCTGGGACTCCTAACCATTCCAGACACACCTGGAGATGAGTCAGAAAGCCAATGAGAATGTGAAGATGCAGATGCAGACCAAACCGGACAGTAAAAGATTTTTGGATGTTGTGTAGCACGCACTTTATATTTAGTGACGTCCTGCAGTGAGAATGAGCAACGCCAGCCCATAGCGTAGTCAAGTCAGGGCACAACTCGGTATCGTTCCCATTTGGGAAGGTAAAATACTTAATCATCGTTTTAGAAATTCAGTCAGTATATATTTGTGAAATATTTTCTCCCATTGGACTAGATTCTTTGTTTCCTCTACTCACATGATTACAATGTGTAATAGGTCTGTCTTGTAAATAAGGCATCATATTTTACAATAATATATAAGTTGACTGTTCAGTCATCACAATTATATGGGGGGTGAGGGAGTCTCAAGCTCTTTCTAGAACCACCGCCCCTCCAAACTGTCCTGCGAGGTGCCCTCCAGGAACTTGTCTGAGCTAGCTGCTTTTCCTCCATGGGCCACCCTGACACTGGCCCACAGAAGGACCTGGGATAAATTTATAAAATCACTATGCTTAAAAGAGACCAAGAGATAGCTTTCTCCCCCCATTCAAAAATTCTTGGTATTGTCACTGAAGAGAGAAAAGCGCTGGCTTTCTGGAGGTCACAAGGCTGGTCAGTATGATCTTCTCTCATAAAGAAATGGCACCTTCAAATGTGTGGGAGGTGGCATTTCAGCCCCAGTGCACCGCTCTGCTTCAAAGCAAAAGAAAAATCACGTTTGAAGAAGAAGCCCAGAAAAAAAATGTCACTTAAACTAGTAAGAACTTATCCAGAAATTCTATTGAGCAAGACCATCAGTGTAGGATGCCAGGGCTTCTGGGCCATGTCTGTGCCAGGACATAAATAAATTATCACACCAGTTCTGTTCTGTGTGCAGGAGACGGGAGATCACACAGGGGTGGATTTTTAGAAAGCATGGCGTCCTTTGATACACTTTGAAATTCAAATATAAAATATTGATAGAATGGAAAGGTTGGGCTTGCATGCAGAAGTGACTCAGTTTGGCAAAAATATGGGTTGAAATTGCACACTTAGAACTGAGTTTGTGATAATTAACAGAAAAAAATCTTCCCGGTGACAGCTCTAATTAATAGTATCTGTAATTAAAATCATGCCCTTCCAGCAGGAAAATTGTTTGAATTTCTTGGAGTGACCTTTTTGCTATTCCTCCTGGGGGCATGGTGGTTAAGTTGATATTGATTTTATAATGAGCTCTGGTTTGTTTAATAAGAATCTGTAATCCAGACAATAAATGAAATGTGTGCTTTTCTTCAATCCAGATTAATAAAAAAGGGGGGAAAAGCACAGAAAAAACTTTCCCTTTGAAAATATGATCTAGGAAAATTTGGAAATGAAATTATTATAAAGATTTTGTGATGGGCTTAGTTTTGAAATCACTATGAAATACCTCTCAGGGAACCACTCTGGTTAAATGCAGACGTTTGGCCCAAAGTGGACGGTCCACTGGGGAGAAGATGCTAGTGCTGGAGCTGTTGAGTTGTTTTGGTTTGTGGTTAGCAGAGCAGGACTCCGCCAACAGGGATGGGATCTCAGGGCTGTTGCCTCTAGATTTCGCTGAGTCATGTATGAAGGGCTCTTAACCGAGTAGCCGCAAATAGAGGATGTTTGCCTTTGTAAATGAAGCAGGTATTAACTCGGGAATGCATCCACACTAAACTTGGCTTTTCCAGAGCTACCACTGAAACCCCCTTTCAAGCTTCAAGTCTGTCTGAGAAGTTGTTTAAAGTATTGCAAACGTAAAAACAATTTCAGGAAAAGTTGCCTTCACACTGTATTTCTTTTTAAACCGTTGAACTTCTGCACTCCGCTAATCCTATAATACAAGTGAAGTTTGGATAAACCTCCTCTTAATTCCCAACACCGGGTGACGAGGAAAATGGAGCGATTCAATATCATGCCTTATTTCATACTCAATCATTTTTATAAACTCTCTGAAAGAGACGAAGGTTATTGTGTACGGAGGTTAGAAGTAGCTGCCTGGGAATGAGGAACGGCAGGCGGCGAGGTAATAAGTTTTATTTATGTCAGAATGTGAACTTACCCTTTAAATGGAGGAACTAAGTGTTCTTATCAGAACACAAGGAGCCTTTGGGTCCGCAGGGAGGAGGGGGAGCTCAGGGCTGGTGGTCCCGAGGAATTCTTCCTCCCAGAGAGCCAAAAAGGAGGATCCTTCAGTGTGCGGGTAAACAGCATGGCAGTGGCCTCATTGCAAGAGAGCTCAGGTGGGGACGCCCCACCCCGCGGCCCACCCTTTGTAAAGCCCTGGCCCACATCAGCCCCGGCAACGCACACCTTCTAGTATTTGCCCTCCCAGGCTCCTGGCGGCCGATGATGCAGAGCCCCCGTGAGCTCATAATTCATGGTCTGTGGCTTTGGGTTAGTTACAGTGCACTCATGGAGTGTTCCAGAATAATCAGTGGGCGGGCTTGTCTCAAAATTGCTTCAAAACAGTGAGTAGTTTGCAGTATTAGGTCCCAGTGCAAACACGTTTAAACCTTTTTTCTCTTCCTCCTCAGAATAGAGCTATTTCATAGAGCCAGCATCTTGAAGCTTAGCTTACATGCGTGTATGTGTGTGTGATATTTTTGTTTGCTTTACCTATTGGAAAATCAAATATTTCTTGATAGACTTATACGTTAGCACTTTCCAAGGGATCAGTCTTACCAGATAATCTATCAGAGTTTAATTTCCTCAAACTTGAAAGAACTAGGTATATTAACTTTCAGAATAACGGAAATCCATTTTGGAAAGGCCATTTTTTTTAATGGGCACCAAACTTTGCCCCAGTGTTTTACTGAACGTTATTTTTTCTTCTAAATACATGAAACATAGCGTATTTGGATTAAATCTGTACTTCATTACCTAAAAAGATCATTTCTTTACTTGTACTCTTTTTTCTCCCCCCAAATTGGCATGTCGGTACATGATATATATGCCGTGTGCACGTGTCTGCTTGCTGCTGGTGTGTGCAGGTTGGTGTGGAAGGAGGTGTGATGCCCAGCACACGACTCCTCGCACGGGAGTCCCGTTTCTGCGGAAGGCCGTCAGGTGAAAGTGCCGAAGGAGGCGATGAGATGATTAGAACACATTCCCTCCTCTCTCTCTCTCTCTCTGAGTTTGTTTGAATGTTGCATCCGTTTCCCGGAGGGTTTGATCACCTTGCAGCAGGAGTTCAGCGCTCGGCCGGCCCACACCCCCGTCCCCACACGAGCGCACAGACTCCTGTGGAATTTCCAGCAAGCCTCTTTTGGTGGGTTATTTCACAATACCCAGCACACTTCCGTATCTCTTGGAGGCCTCTGGAACCAGACCCAGAGGAGAGCACGCTTCTGGGCGCGGCGGGCATCCCACTCATGGGTGACGATCAGCGAGTGACCTCCCGCTAGGTGCGAGGTGGCTGTGATTGGGGTGCTCTGTCCACTCCGGCTGAGGGGCCGGTGGCCCGAATGCAGCCCAACTCCTCATCCCCCCTGGGCAAGGGAGAGCCAGCCCCTCCCAGAGGAGGGTGCCTGTCACAAGCTGGCTTATTCTCCGGGGCCTTGAATTAAGGGATCCTTCTTTTTCTAAGGTAGCTTAATCTTTTGTAATTGGTACAATCACTCGTTAGAGAAGCGTTTTCCGATTTAGGTAGAAAACAGGGAATCTCCTGAGGTTTGCCTGACCCCACCACAAGCTCCTAAAATAGCCCATTTCAGTCAGCTATGTATCAGTCAGAAAGAACGGCCTTTCTTTGCTTGACACGTAAATTTTCAGGTCAAAATAACTTTTGTGCAACTTCTCAGCAAGAAAATCTATCCTGATTCATAAGAGGAAAAGTGCTCTCAAATATTATTAAAGAACTTAGGTTTTTATCCGAACCCAGTCAAGCCTGAGAATTGGGATTTTACTAGTTTTGCCTTTGCAAGAAGCTGTGATTAGCCCCTCTGTGTGTCGGGAGAGCTCTCTTGAAGCTTTGCAGTCACTGAGTTGATGTTTCATCTGGTCAAGGGGAAGCCAGGCTGCTGAGGGAGAGGCCTTGTCCTGGGGTCCCGAGCGCCTCGATCCCAGAAAGAGGCCCCGGCTTCACTGTAAAGTACACGCCTCGCCACACAGTCACGTGATAACGAAGGAAAACTTGCAGACTTTTGCCTTGCCGCGAGGAACGCACCTGTCCCGAGCATTTCGAAAACGTGTGTGTTTGCGTGTGCATTCAGTTTCAAGTGATCAATTAGGGCCAACAAGCTCTGTCGAATCTTCTAGATTCCTTGCCACCCTGGGTCTGAACATTGTCCTGTAAGGCGTGAATTGGTAGTGCATTTTCTCATAAACCTTAAATTTTCAAGTCTGCAGTTTCCAAAAGCCGCGGCTGCATGCCCATTCTCCAGTTTCTGTGCAACGTGTCTCCTCAAAAATAGCTCCTGAGATTTGGAAATAAGTCT